CATATACATATGACAAAGAGGGCATAAGGTTCATGTGGCATTTTGAGTGGTGGGGGCTTGATGAAGCACAGAAAGAGCGGGCTCGAACAGGTGGCAAGGAGGAGCAGCGGTCAAGGTCTTTAAGGAATGCGCATGGCACACAAGTGACAGCCTATAGCCATGGCTTTGTAACACGCGGTGCCATGGCTGAAGACAGGCTTTTGACCTTGTGAATGCCGAGCCTTTAGTTGGATTAATAGAAGACTGACCACATTACTTGGGTTGTACACTCAATAATCAAAATCTTAATTACCATACACCTATTGCAAACTGCAAGCAGTAGCGTAGCATATATCTATTTACTTGGAAAGTACAAAAGCTTGAATTTAAAATTATTGCTATTTTTATTGCTCTACTTTTTGTTTGTGAAAGAAAAAATAAAATTTGTATTATATTTGAATAAAGAACTATATATAATTATTATTTATGAAGAAATAAAAAATTTTACTCATATATAACAAATTAAGCACGAAATTCTACTTTTTTCTATTGATGTAATTCTAAAAATTTGATGGCAGCTAACTGGATGTGACCCTGGGCTACAGGACCATTCCTTTTCATCTTTTACTGGGCTGAGCTATCATGTTGGCCCATGGCAGTGAGCAAGCTTATTTGATCCATTTGTAAAAGGATTAATGTACATATAGTAACAGAAAGGCAGGCAACTACTAATATTGGCAAAGTAGGAGTATAATTGATAAGCAGATCCGGCATGGACACAATTAACAACGTATTTGCTACAGGAGTTGTATCAGATAATACAATTAATACATTAAAATAAAATTAACATATTTACAAATGATGCGGTTCATTCATGTAGGCTTGATTAACTTGTTTAAGCATGATAAATTGTTTATTTAAAATATTAATTATTCAATAAATAAATTTGAATGCATTGGATATGTTGAGTAATATGACTTACTAATATGATTAATTAATTAAACATGTATAGATGAGTCATATACAGGTTATAGGTATATATCAACTTGCATAACACAATAGTATAATTACGACACAAACATGATTATATAAAATCCTAATTCGTTTAAATTCATATAAGTATATCTTATCAAGGGATTGTATCCAAAAATGTCAAATTTATGTCCAAGTTAACGGAAAAGAAGTCAGAATTTCTGTGACTATACTACTTTATTGTAGGTAATATGCTCATAAAAAGGAAATTGTGGGTGATTTATATGAATCACTAATTGGGTGGGAGACGAGGGAGAAGCCCAAAAAGAAAATAGCAAAGGAGGAAAGAAAAATGGACGATCCTCCTCACAGAAAGGAGTTAGTAATTTTTGTTTTCATCGCATGATATATGCAAGGATTTGTCCAAGTTCTCTGTTGATTCCCAGCCTCAACTGGAAGGGACAACAAATTAAATTAATGAAACCTATGTTGAAGTCATACCACAAGTTTGCCTTCGCCTCTCCCTGCGCTGCTACATCTGATAAACTTAAGGGTATCCATGAAGCTTTTTCTTCATTCTAAAGTTTCTGTTTTATCATTTCACGTTTTAAATCTCATGCAGTTATGTCTTGTTCGTATCCTTTACCTTTTCGATGCTTTAATTTTGATAGTCTTAACCCCAATTAGTTTGTTTCCATTGCTCATCGGACCTTGTTCCCTGTTAATCCAAATATATATAGATGATCCGATGTGTTACTTGAAAATTTTGTGGCCATGATTATGAATGAACTTGAAACAATTGCTCTTACATGTTAATAGATATCAGTATGATTTTGTGGGGTTCAAGAAATGGCTAAAAATCCATCATGCAATGGCTTAATATGCAATCATGTAGCAGGACGGGCTAAAGGTAAATAAGTTTATATCTTTAAAGCATAATCTAGCAATGAGAAAATATTGAAGATAAAAGATTGATTTTTCTTTAATCTGCACTTATTCACTCATTTCTGGTGTAGGAGCAAAAATTGCAGAAACAGGCAGCAAACAGGGCTTCCAGTTTTCACTGTTTTCCTATCTCTTGGCAGGGTTGTATACCGAATTATAAGGAAAACAGCAAAATGAGTTCTCCGAAGCTCAACAACATTCTTGCATTCTTCCTTGTTGCATCACTGGCTAGATTTGAGCCATCCCTCGGATTCTACCCTGGCCAAAGACACTTACACATTGTAAATTGGCTCGAAAACCAAAGAGCCTTTGATGGTCCGTTGCTGGTGCAATGGTGGTAGATTGGGTACACATAATTTAAAATACAAAGAGGAATTCAGGTGGGAGTTTTTGGAAATAATTCCATTCAAGCATATGAAAATTGAATGTGACATGGAGTTCAACGATGGAGGGAAGCCAAGGAGAGGGCATTTCGTGGTGTTTGACTCGACCCAAGAGGTTAGGAGGCGTGAGTGCTATAAATGGTGTAATTGGTCAGTCGGAATATACGGCTTATATGCATATGATGAGGTTGATGAAAGATGGGACTACGAAATTCCGTGGCCTAGTAAAAATACGTTTTAGCTAATTTCTTGCTATTGGGCTCTAGCCTGATCAGGGCTAAAGCCTTAGTTTTCTCTATATTCACAAATATTCTGCTTTCTTTGATTCAATAATTTGAGAGGCAGACATGGAAATCTATCTGCTCTGTAGCGTTTGATAAGGAATATGAATGGAAAATGGATTCCAGCTATATTAACTATATAACCACTGCAATAACTTTTTTGCTGATTTCAAACTCGTCATTTTCCTTATCAATAACTTTCAAGCACTTACAATGGTTTTGATTGAATTTGGGAGATTTTTGGTTCTTGGATCTTTTCAGACGTAGCTCATTTTGGCTAATCGGATTTATTTTTTCGAACTTATTATCTAACTGAGTTGCAATGCATTAATTAACAAAGATATGTATAATAATGAGATCACATTCGTTAATGTTGTTTAGTATTTGAGACAGGTATTCATTTTTAAAATTTAAGAATGTGAATTAAAGATAAGATGTATTTCGCTTTTGAATTTATAATTAAAGTTTCAAGTTTTAGTTTTATATTTTTTAATTGCGTTTAGGCCTTAGGGTATGAACAAAATGGCCTGTTTTTCCAAACCCAACAGAATCCAATGCAATTTGCTCTTTCAGCTCTTATCTGTCTGCGGGCCGTAACCTGAACTCTGGCCTCCAGAACTGGAGGAATTTTTCTAGAATTCAGAGAAGGAAATCTCTGCAAGAAAATAAACACTCCATCGTCTCCCCGTCTACGAAAGAAGCTACTAGAAAACAACTATTAGGTGCTTGCCCTGGCAACTGATGACTGGTTCGAAATATACTCGCACGCTTATTTAATTTGTGGACAGGGGTAGGTTGGCATTACAACCTAGGCAGCAACTGTGCTTATTCTCTTATAAAATATTGGTCCAAGAAGCTGCATTTAATTGGACTGACTATAATTATGATAAGGTTGCCCATTTTTCAATGTGCTTGTTTATGCCATCCAGCTGTTCAGTTCCTAGATCACCCCACCAACCAACTTTCAATATTCAAGTAACATTCCCAACATTGCTCACAGCCCTATAAATATCCACAAGCTCAAAGTTTTCAGTGTGTGACAATTCAAACTTATCAATCAATTGTCTATGCCTAAACTCCGTTTTCTGTAGTTATTTCCACCATCAACTATAGTCAATGGATACAGTTTCCTCTCATCCAAATGCACTAGAAATGTTCCTGATTACTTTTCTTATGGTTGAAACTTTCATGGTTGCTTCTGCTGGCAACTTCTACCAGGATGTTGATATCACATGGGGAGATGGTCGTGGAAAAATTCTCAACGGTGGGCAGCTCCTCACTCTCTCCCTTGATAAAGCCTCTGGCTCAGGCTTCCAATCCAGGAACGAATATCTGTATGGAAAGCTTGATATGCAACTCAAACTTGTGCCTGGCAACTCTGCTGGGACCGTCACTGCCTACTATGTAAGCAACTTTTCCAGACAGTTCCCGTGTCAATTCAAAATTTTTGGACAAATTCTATTGTTCTGTTCAGTGGTAACACATTAATTCTTGTGTCCTGCAGCTAAAATCTCAAGGATCATCATGGGATGAGATAGATTTTGAGTTCTTGGGGAACCTAAGTGGTGATCCTTTTATTGTCCACACTAATGTTTATACAAATGGTAAAGGTGACAGAGAGCAACAATTCTACCTCTGGTTCGACCCAACTGCTGATTTTCACACCTACTCAATTCTCTGGAACCCTGAACACATTATGTAAGTATACAAAAATCAACATGCCATCTAAGCCCTGTATAATTATCATGTAAATATATCTCAACTTTGCAATAACTTATATTTTCTTTGTTGCAGTTTCTATGTAGATGGTAGACCAATCAGGGAGTTCAAAAACCTGGAGCCTGCTGGTGTTCCATACCCAAAAAACCAACCCATGAAATTGTACTCTAGCCTCTGGAATGCTGATGACTGGGCCACGAGAGGAGGCCTCATTAAGACAGACTGGAGCCAAGCCCCCTTTACGGCTTCTTTCAGGAACTTCAATGCCAATGCTTGCATCTGGTCTAATGGAGTATCTTCTTGCAGTTCAAATTCATCTTCTAATCATGCCTGGTTTTCACAAGAGCTGGATTCTTCTGCACAAAAAGTGCTAAAATGGGTGCTAAGGAATTACATGGTTTACAATTATTGCAAAGACGCAAAACGTTTCCCTCAGGGCCTCCCTGTTGAATGCACTGTTACTAATAGAAAATAGAATAAGATGAAGTCGTTTCAGCGAGAACATTTTGTAGTGTAATTCTTTAAGCAAAGTTGATACCATAAAGTTATTTGTATGATCATATACTATAATTCTATAAATAAAATTTGAAACTAATGCACTTTTCATTTGTTCCTTGAAAGCCTATAGCTATACTGATATAGGGAAGTGTTCAGTGTGAGAACTAAAAAAAATGCTTAATGTTAGTACTCAGATTTTAATTTCTTGTACCAAATAGTCAGACCAATAATTAGGGTTGAGTAAAATTACATCAGAGTAATGACCCAATTCAACTAAATGTAATTTGGGTAAAATGATTGTTGACTCTATATGTTTTTTATAATAACAAAATATTCTTATTCTTTGATATCTAATTATTTTATTTAAGTGTGTAAAACAAAGTTTAAAACTTTTAATATATTTGCTGTTTGGAAGCAAGTCAAGAAGTTTGCTTAATTATAAGATTGGTTAATTAGTTAAAGAAGCAAATAAGAAAAGACTTAGTGAAGACAGCATGTTGTTAATTCATTAACATAGAGCCTTAACCAGTTAAAGCAAAACTGGGCGTTGGGTTAAAGCAAGATAAAAGAGTCTTAATTAATTCACATTAGGCTTAACTAATTAAGAAGATGCTGGATGCTTAAAACAAAGGCATGCTAAGCGATTAACAAGTTTGGTTGATTGATTAAAACACAAAGCTTTAGTACTTTTAAGTATCAAAATCAAATTTGAAAGAAGGTTGACTGTTAAAGAGAGCCAAAATGGGAAAATTCAAATTTGAAGAAGTTTTAATTGGTTAAAGCTAATTTTACTCAATTAAGGTTGAAGGAAATGAAGCCTCTACTAGTTTTAGGGAAAGCTAACCAATTAAAGAAAGACTGCTGTGTAGAGAAAAATAAAAATAGAAAGTTTATAATTGGTTAGAATCTCCTTTAATCGATTAACATAGTGTGCACAACTGCAAGACATTGTAAGGCAGAGAAGTTGCAATTGGTTAGAGTATGCCTGTAACCAATTAACGGAACATTATCTGTCTATTTGAAAAGAGTTGCTAGAAGGCAAAATAACAGCTAGTAACGGTTAGAAACTATCTCTAATGGCTAGAATAAGTTTCTCAAGTATTTAAATCTTCTCCAATAATCAAAAATCATATAAAGAAGCAACCAAAAGTGATTTTGAGCTTAAAACATCCAAAAACTTTATCTTAACACTTGTATTCCACTCTTATCTTTGTGAAAGTGTTTGTGCTGAAGTTTGTATGACTTAAATCAGCTAGGTGATCATTTGTATTTCCTTTTATTTTCTATTTCTTGTTTGGTAAGAGTGTGCGAGACACTCTAAAGGGTAGTCTAAGCTAAGGAAAGCTTAGGACTTGCTATAAAAGGGTTTTGAGCTTGGGTTAAAAATTCACCTTATAAAAGCTTAGTGGAAGCTGTTAATTCTACTGGTTTTAGTGAAGTTCGATTGAAAATCCTTGATTAGGAAGATCAAGATAGTGGAAGTAAGTCAGGTGAATCAAACCACTATAAATATTCTGTTTTATACATTTCTTTTAACATTTCTTTACTTGGTGTTCACTAATGTTCACAAGTCCTTAACCATCCATCTTAAATCTTCCAAACAGTTTTCAAATTTCTAAATTTACCTTCAAAATAGTTTTAAAGTGTTATTTACCCCTCTTTAGCACTCGTTTTGGGATTAACAAAGATGAGGTCTGATTGTTCTAAAAAATTTGGTCCAATTGACTTATTTGGTCAATTTTTGTTATAAAATTTTTAGATTGAACTAACCAAAATATCAAACTAATAATAATAATAATAATAATATTTTTAAATATATATTTTCTATTACTAAGTTAATGATATGCGATTGCGGATTGTCTTATGTTAGATAGTCTAATTTTGTGGATATTAATTTTATTATCTTTGTTATGTTAAATCTTGAACGTTAGAACTTAGAAGTTGAAACTGTTGAATGTTAATTTGATGGATTATTAGAAAAGACATAATTAATTATGTAAGTGAAAGCACAAATGTTATATTTCTTAATTTTTAAATTATTTGTGAGTTTTAAAATTATAGATGGATTTTATAAATTTCAATATTACAATTTGAAAAAGAAAAAAGTGAAAAAATTTTAGTTTTTTTGATCCAAAATCAAATCGATCAAATTAATTCGATGTTTGGTCAATTTGATCGTCCTTTTAAGTTTCGTTGATTTTTTTAAAAATGTTTGGTCCATTTGGTTTTTAGATATAACAAACGGAACTAATAAAACCAACCAATTGCTCACCCCTACCGATAACTTATTATAATTTTATATTATATATTAATTATTAATGCCAATAATCAATAATATTATTAAATATTATTATCTTAAAAATGATTCGATAATATTATCAAATATAATCTTTAAATTATATTATTTAGTATTGTGTGCGTAATAGAATTTAATATTAAATAATCTAAACTTATTGTTTAATCGAATATTTAATATTACTTAACCATATTGAATAGAAGAAATTTAATAAGATAATTTTATACTATATTATTCAATATAATTTTAATTTTGTATTCTTTATTAATGCATTATAAAATTTAATAAAATATAATTTAAAAATATTAATTAATTGATTATTTAATACTAAATAAATTAATAATACTAATTCATATAAAATAATAAAATGATAATTTAGTTACCAATTATATTACTTTTATTATT